TGCAAGATGATGAAGCACCCCCTTAATTCAATGAGGCACCAAGTCCAGATAGAGGAGGATACCTTAATGATATAGATCCAGATATACTTGAATCCATTCTCAATGATATCATCAATTAAGAGGATATTGTTCTTGACATTCCACCACTTAAAGTTAACTTAAGCCCTATCAAATAACAACATGATATAAACTAATGCCCTTCAAAGACATCTGGTGTAAGAACCTTCTATGGGACTGCACCAAAACTCAAGACCTCCAAAGCATTCAAACCTCTAGAAAATGTCAAGGAAACTTGCAGTGATCCTGTAAGTTTGACCATACCATACATGCTAACATGATTTTCTTTTTTTGTCATTTAATATTTATCATGGTTGTTAATTGACATTTTAGGTCAATTTTATGGCTCCAACAAAGAAAAAAGTTCCAACTGTTGTGGTGCATACCAGAAAGAGTGGAAGACTCGTGATTGTAAAAACAAAAAACATAAAGGGGAATGGAAGACACCCTGAAGATCCACTTGTGTTGATTGAAAAAGATAGCTCAAAATAACCAATCAAAAGGGGTATAAAAATTTGGGACGAAATTCAAAAAGGCTTGACTCAATGAGGCTGAATTATGAAGAATTAGAATTTTATGTTATATTTCTGAGCAGTGACTTGTATTTTTAAATTTCTAAGTTGTAATCGTAAGTGAATGTTGAAGAGTGTGAATTACTATGTTTTCGTTATGTTGTAATGTATGAGCAGTGACTTGTAATTTTGGTTAAAATACAATCTAAGACCATGTATTCAATCATTTTGGGTATGCTATTTTAAAGAATCAATTCCATATCATTTTGTTGTCATATTGGTTGTCAAATTGTATGTTGCAATCTCTCTATTGACCTCAACATGTTATTTGTCAAATAAGGATAACAGTGTCCATGTTTTAGGCCACATGATGCCAAAACTGAGGCCAACTAAGCCAAAAGTGAGTCCACCTATGCCAAAATTAAGGCAAACTATACCAAAAAAATTTCAAACTTTGTCAACAATTTAGCAGAATTATGGCACAATTATAAGTAACTATTCCATACAATCTATACAATTCAACACAATTCCATTAGAAACATAGTGATTACATTACAAACACAGTGATTAAATTCCTCATGGGTCATTACTTCAACAATTACATTTCATTACTAGGTACACATTAATCACGAGAGAAACTATAAAACATATAAACTTGATTTTTCCAGCCCATGCCTTTGATCTCAATTTCGCTTGCAACTTCAAGTTTTTCTTCTTAGAACATTCATACAACTCCCTCAGCAGTTCAACCGTCTCCAATTTCTTCAGCTTGTTGACATCTACTTGTTCAACACAATCTTCTTCAACCATATCTTCACCCATATGAACAAGTCACGTGTTTCTCCTCTCTTCCAAAAAGGACAACTCCAGAAGATCCTACCTTTATTGCGCCCATTCTTACAGACGTACGAAACCATTCGAGTTTCACAATCGTAGTTGCTTCCTCAACGACATCTCTCGGAGGATGAAGACATGCTCATGGGTTTCAAAGAAGTAGCTCTGGAATACAACATATTCCCTCTGTTGATGATGAATAATTTGGTTTGCGTTTAAGAGAGCTTCGACTTGCAGTTGGTGATGACGACTTCGTTCTCGAACAAGGCTAGTGAGAAGACAAAAAGGAATTAGGGCACGAATATTACGAAGAGGAACAACACAATTGGTACCAATAAAATTAACATTAATAATGACTTGTTATTTAATTACACATGTGGAAACTACTGATTGTCGAATTATTTAAAAAAAATTGTCAAGTCACCGTTCACGTCATAGTCCGTTAAGTGAAATAGACGACAGAGATGAAAAATAGAGACAAAAAACTTCATGAGGACGATTCTTTGAACGAAAATATTCTAAGGACTAAAACTAGATTTTTGAGATATCTATAGGGACATGTAACATATTTAATCCTATTAATTATTCATAATTAGATATTTATATAATTTCTATATGATTAAATTATTTATTATTGAATTTTATGATGATATATTACATAACTATAAGTGATTTTTTATAGAAAGGTATATTAATTAGCATATTTATAATTAAGCCTTTCGATTATATAAAATAAATTAAATTACTAAATTTAAAATATTTTTAAATAAATTGACTTAGGTTAGTCTAACATAACACAATATTTATAAAGTTTTATAATTTTTTTAATTAGTTAGACTTTTTTTATGCTATTAAATCAATTGTAATGACATTTTGAGACACATACAGTAGTGTTTTAAAACAAATTCGTTTCACTGAGATATCTATCAAACATAATTTCCGCGAAGCTAATATGTATACATATGCTCTTATGAAGAATGCAATTCACCAACAAGACGAATTTTTTAGGTTCAATGAGTGTCTGGATTTCATTAAGACGGATTTCGATAATGATTTGTTTGGGAAACAATTCTCCCATTTCATTCAATTTTAATTTCTTTCTCAAGGCTTCAGCCCCTCATGTAACGGAAAAAAAATCGTCTCATAACACAAACTTTGAAACGAAAACACAACTATGTTTTTTAGAGAACATTAAAAAAATTAAAATCAGAGATGACATAAATAGAAGAAGATTAGAGATATAATAAAATAATTCAATTTAAACTAAACTCAATTTTTACTTAAATTAAATTACGATTTTTTTTATTAGAGATCAATTTATAAAATTAGAACATAACCTCTAAATTGTTTAAGATGATTCTGCTAACCTAGCACAATATTTATAAATTTTAAGTCAATTGTAATAAATTTAGACTCATATTAGTGTCTCAAAACAACTTCACCACATAACACTCAAAAAATCTAAAAAAAATTAAAATAAAAAACACATCTATTATATAAGAAGAAACATGCACAATAATTAAATAAAATTAAATAAACAAATATAAGATATGACTTTTGGTGACAACCACCGTCACCATCCCTCCTTTTGAGTCTGACACAGTAATCATCACCTCTCTTTCTAAATAAAAAAGTGAAAAACAAAACCAAAAAAAGAAAAGAAAAAAATCAAATTTTAAAGTTAGTTGCTCAGTTTTCTTACTAGGTGTACATTTTTATTAATTTTCTTGGACCTTTAAATAATTAGGACTTCCCTTGGTGTTCCTCTTTTTCTTTATACTTTTTTTTTTTTGGTAAAATTACATCAAAGATTCTTTAAGTTATTTTTTTTAATAAGTTGGTCTTTTATGATTTTTTTTTGGTAACTTGATTCTTTAAGTTAGCAAACATGTTGAATTAGAATCTTACTTATTTAGAATGCTACTTTATATACTTCAGTGCAAATTTATGTATTTTGAATGATTGATTTAATCAAAGATTTAAAAAAGGTAACTGTGCACACATTTGTTAACTTAAATGACTAAATTGTTAAAAAAAAAAACTTAAGGACCAATCTATTATAAAAAAATAACTTAAAAGACCTTTGATATAAATATGTTTTTTTCTTACTATTCTTATTGGGGAAGGCGGAAGAAGCAACGGACCAATGCTCCAAGAACCACAAGAGATAGAAAAACCACATCTCCACCAAAAAACCTTAAGGTATTATGGGTTCACTCCCCTATAAATCCAATATTTTATTTATGCAATTTCTTTTTGCACCCTGTTACCTTCTCTCAGGTCTCTGCCGAAATATAAAAAATGTCTCTATTTTTGGAGATACATCTCCGAACACAATATTTCTTCATTTTATCTAAATTAAATTCGGAGATGCATCTCCAATTAAACTGTCTGTAACTTTTTTAAATACAAAAATGATGACTTTGGAGATGAATATCCGAAAAGGTCACGGATTGTTTTTTTTTTAAATAAGTGAGGTTTATTCAGATATGTATATCCGAAAACATACCTGAACCAGAAGCAAGTCAGAAACTTAGTATACAAGCACATACAATGTAAATCATAAAATTTTTAATCAAGAATTACACCATAATTGTTGAGGTTATATATTACTTATATATTAAATCATATCAAGATCACATCGTTGACGATAATAGATTAAAAAAAGTGTATCGGTTACAATCTAAAATGCATCATGATGCGTCCAGAAGGATCTTAAGGTGTATCACTCTGAAGTGAAAAAAAGTCTCCGAGAAACCATATAAATCAATACACACCCTGCCATACGTACTTGCTATAAGATGACTCATTTCAGGGAAGCACATCCATTTTGACTCGTGTGCAAGACCGCTAACACGAGAAATAAATAAGAGCATCGTAAATTGCATCAAAATATTCTTTTTTTCCCATATAGCAATGTGGAGAATTTCCTATAAATCGTCAACTCTTTCAAAAGTTATTGGCGAACAAGAAAGTGAGTTAACAAACTCTTACAATTCGCTCAATGTGTTTGTGCATAAAAATTTCACTGAATAGCTAAATAATAAAATATTTTAATGAAACTCCTGTGAAATGGCTTCAGGTATATTTTTGGAGATGTATCTGCTAATTAACCTCAAAAAAACTTGAAGATGCATCTCCAAACTAAATTTTGTCAAAAAATGAAACTCAACAGATGCATTTAGAGATGTGTCTTCGAAAAAACTCAATAGTATTTTAAGATTTTCAGAGATGTATCATACCCAATATAGATAAAAAAAATTATCTTTATTTATTCATAAAAAATAAAAGTCTTAACGGGTTACACTTGTATTCAACAATCTCCCTTAAAAATTTGAATATGTTACATCCTATAATATGGTCTAAGACACCCACTCACCGATGATGATTTTTTTGATACCATTAAGAAAAATGTATGTTTTGAACCATTAAAAAACAACCAATGTGATACATTTTAAAGATAAATGAACAAAATGCATCTCAATACCGAACATATGTAACGTCAACATTAACATGTTGTGACGTGATTCTTGGTGTTTTCTTAATGATATAAAATCGACTTCAAACGCTAACGTACTAGTGTTGAAGCAAATAGCAATGGTATCTTCGTCTCAGCGCCACAAAACCGTTGAGTTTCTCATAAAATCTTCTCAAGTAAGCCCTAACCATTCTTCTATCATATTTCTTCCTCTTTTCACCTTCTCATAATCAATCCTCTTTCTTCCCACTAGCACCTCAATGTTTCCCCCATCGTTAAATACTCAGCATTCTCCTTCTTCGCCGATCGCTTCATTCCCTCATTACCACTGTAACACCTCTCTCTCTCTCTCTCTCTCTCTCACTATAAATGTAGTAAAGTTGCATTGTTGAAATTTTGTTACTGATTAATTATCTTTATTTTCAATATGTAGTTTTATAGAACGCGCGAACTCGTTGAACTGGCTGTTTAAACCTGTCACTGAAAGCACCTTGCAGTTGTTTGTGCTTATTTCTCTATGGATTTCAAGCAAAGTGAGAGTTTCAGTTTTTACTTTTCATATTTCAGACTTGTTGTATAGTTTATTTGGGACTGTTATTGTGTTGTTATTTACTTGTTTGTAGATACATGATTCTCTACCGCTCTCTGTTGCGAGTTTGAAGTCTTTGGCGGATAAATCAATCAAGGACCAACACTTTACAAATCGGAATTTCATTGAAGCGGTAAGCAAACATTGAGGTTCATTGTAAATTATAAAATGCGTATTTTGAATTACCATGAAGCTTTTTGTTTTGTATTTCTCTTAAACTTGAAGTACTTGATCTGCAGGAGGTGCTCTTCATGCAGGTATAAATTGAAGTTGTGGACTCACCTGAGGTATCATCTGATTTTGACATCGATTGGGATTTCCTCAGGTGTTGAACTTTGAGATTGGTACTGCGAATATAGCCTTTTCGTTCCTTCAAGAGCTTTGGATTCAAATCAAGTGAGTATGATATTCTTAAGATGAAGACGTCTCTAACTTTGATATTTGAATTTGAAGTTTGTTTTTTTATGTGGATGAATCCTGCTTTTGAACGATTGAGCTAAGGGGAGTAGCAAAAGTTGGTGAGTTGATTAGCTTTGAAGTTTGCATGGAAATTATGGATCTTCTTTATGAAAAGGAAGAGATGTCATATCTTTATAGGTCTCCTCGTCCCCTTGCTGCATCAATATTGGTAATTTGTATATTCCTTAGCTATTTCCATAATATCATAGAAGCTTTTGATTTTGGAAAGTTGTGATATACTTTTGCAGGTTGTATCATACTTAATGACAGTCCCTAAACAGAAATGGGAGTTCCCAGTTGTTGCATGGGGTAAGAAAGTGAATCTAGGTTCAAATATACTGTTTTTAGGTTTTAGTTTTCTATAAACCTATTCATACAACCATATGAACTAACTTCAATTACTGAGTAACCAACAAAGAGATTTTTTTGTCAGTAAATTTCGCAACCTCTTGTAAGGAAGAAGATATCATAAAAATGGTGACGGAGATTCTCAAACATGTGCTTGAACCTTCTTGAGATATGAGGTAAGTTAACTTTGAAAAGTTGAATAATTTCTGTATGTGGATAATCTCTTGTTAATCCTTAAGCATTGTTATCTAATAGTAATCAATTGCTTGATTTGCCACTATGTATCTTAGCATTGCAGTACATAAGCATTGTTTTTAGGCCTGTTCAACATATCTGGTTTTATTAGGGAAGTAAACCAAATCCAAACCATATTTAAAAGCCTGGTTAGTAAAATTGATTTTTAACCTATCCATTTTACTTTTAAACTCTATTTTGGTTATTTGGTTTTGTAAACTGGTTGGATATCCATCTTATCCATTTTTTATTCAATTCCTTAAGCTATCACATTTCTTTCACCATTCCACAGCTGCATCCTTTTTCCAACAACAAACCTAGTAACTCTAAGACTGTGCATGGTTTGGATATTCATAAAACCAAGCCATATCGAAAATTCAACCAATAAGAAGGACTTGATTTCAAAATTGAGTCAGATGTTCCCTCAAAACTGGTTTACTTTTAGTTTAAAACTGAGTTTGAACCAAACCAGAACCGGTTTTTGAAACAGGTTTTAAAGCTTGATTGAAAATTGGGTTTTGAACAAAATCTTTGTGAACTGAGGTATATTATTTGGTTGCAGGGTTAGGATGATATCTTGAATGTGCTGAAACATCATATTCTTGGTTTGGATGTATTTTGGGTAACCTTCATATTCTTTCATTCGGAATGGTGTTTTAGTAGGTATGCATGATTGAATAAGCACTAGTTTGATTGTGCCCAAATTATATATGTTACTTACATTCCAATGTCACTTACATTGTGACATTGTAAATACAATGTAAGAAGCTAGATATTGAACAGCGCCAGAACAAACAGGCTATAAGAAATTACACATGTAGGATTGTAAAAACATAAACTTTGAGGTTTAACATGTAATCATAATGAAAAAAAAATGAATTTTTCTTTTTTCATTTCCTAAACTTCTCAGAAACTCTTTGAAATGGGCAAAAATGCTCTCCCGATTCTAGAATTTGGGCACTTAAAAACACATTCCAGATTTTAGAATCTGAACACCCATATATAACAGTAAGATTTTATAATCTGAACGGATAAAAAATCTCTTATTAACATTACCCACGACTTTGCATATATATACAACATTCATGAACTGAAACAGAACAAACAATTGCCAAATTCAGCCCATTAATTTAGCACATTTCATTCTACTTCTAGAGGCCCATTAAAACATCTCCATTGACAGAACTAATTTTGATTTTTGAACTACTTTTGATGGATCCAAATTATCTCATTATATTTAAAGAAGCAATTTTATTTTAAGGGTGTTTTCAATAAACAATATATATTCTACTATCAAAACGTTTTTTAATATATTTGAGTCATCAATTATCATGGTTATTGACCGTAGCTGATTAAATGAGACTAACTGTCAAGGTCTTCGAGTTTGGTGTCCAACAACTGTTTGATGTGAAGTGGAGGATATCTGCAAGGCACTCCGAAGCTAAAGTAAGATCTAGGGAGAGTGCTAGCAAGTATGAGAGCATGTGAGTTAAAGAATCAATATCTGACCCTCTCAAATGAGAGGGTATTTATACCCCCAGCACTGGGCCAAGGTCTTCAATAATGGGCTATGATGAGGCCCAACAAGGAAGACTGCCAGGATTTACATGTGTATGGGGTCCAGCACATGGCCCCCTCCCTGGTTAACTGCCCCGAGAAAGTAGGTATTAGACCCGTTATTCCTGGAAGGCAGTATGATGACGTTTTGGACACGTGGGCAACATCTTCTTAGCGGACACGTGGGAAAATGCCCAACGGTCATTATGTTGGACTGCAGCTTTGGGCATTTTGATAGAGGCACTAGACTGGGCCTCCCCAACGGTGGGGCAAGAGCTGGCCCAGTCTAGAACAGGAGTCCCCCAAGTCATTGCCCGTGGATGAAAGGGTGATGACTTAAGTTCAATTCCACTGTCGGGGAAACCTAATCCGCAAGGGAAAATTACCCAAATCCGCTGGGGATGATCTGTGGGTTGACGTCGAGGATGCAGAAGACATGTGTGTGGCATGATCGACTAGGTCAGTGGGTGGTCTCTCGACTGGTTTTAACTTCGATGTTGTCGGTGTTGTGCCCTCCAGGCACATATGTCCATGTGAAGCGAGGGATTCCCCAAAATTTCTTTTGGCACGCTCGTCTATGAGGAGCAGCCCCGACGTCGAGCGTTTTCCTCGCCTTTAGGAGAACAATATAGATTTGCTCGTAATCACGGCTGTGTTGGGGGGTTGTCTGTTTCCCGTCCCTGAGACCGAAACGTCGCCCATTGGCCCGTATATGACGTTCAGTGGATGAATCGAGGACAAATTCGTCTCCAAGAGTGGGCACGTGGCTGCTTGTCACACTACGTGGCTGCTGTTTTGGGGTGCCACTTTTTCATAAGGGAGTTCAAAAGCCCAAAGTCATGATGGCTTTTTGTATGCTGCCTCGTGGGGTGTGAACCCTTTATAAATAGTGGAATCATTGAGCTCATTTGTCATTTTCACGTTTTCCTCTCCATCCTTTTTCTTTTGCTCGTGGATCTCTTTCGTTCCAACATCACCCTAACACTTCAGCCAAGATCTTTCCAAGTAAGTCATATCTTCTTGATGATGTTCTTTTTCCAGATTTTTAGATTGAATACTTTTTTTTTATGAACGGGTGAACTTCTGGATGAATGTTCGTGAGTTCTGTCATGAATCTTCATGGGTGCTCATCAAAGTTCAAGGCCACGAGCGAAGGTTCGTACGCCCAACTTCATGTGCGACAGGGTCGTCCTCCCCGAGTAGTTGGGAGATTTTTGGACCGCCCAGACGTCCCCGCGCATGGCGTGGTTCGTTCTCTTTTTAGGTCGTGGTCCATTCCTCGACGCAATCATCGCCCTTTCACTTGATTTGCGGTGGAAAGGTGAATTTGATGATGTCGAATTCACTGTTTTCCTCTGCCTTTCATGTACGATGGCCCACTAAATCGAGGATGTCATTATGCTCACCACCCATGAGGACGACAATGTTGTCGAGGAAGACCCTTTGGCATGGGTCGCGCCTGAACCTAGAAAAGTCGATATTCTCGCAAGATGCTACTGATGCGTTCAACTGCCCAGAGGTTTGAGCACAGGGTGCCCCGACCAATTGGGTCCTGCAGATCCCTCGTAGAAACAGAAGAATATGCTCGACGTATCCGGGAAAACGCTTTCCCATGTATGAATTTGCTTTCAAGGAAGCGGGGATGCATTTTCCCTTCAACGATTTCCAGGTCGGGGTCTTTCAATGGTTACAATTAGCTCCCTCCCAGCTTCACCCAAATGTGCTCGCTTTCATGCGCGCCTTCGAGCTCGTATGTCAATATTTATAGATAGGCACCATGCTGCCCCTCTTCTTCCGTATATTCCATCTGCAAAGGCAGTCTATCAAAGGGGGACAAGCCTGGGTGTCCTTTAAGAAGTTCGGGAAACTCTTCCGGCCATATCTTGAATCCGTTCGTCATTTTAAAGAGATATACTTCGTCGTGAAGCCTCTTACAGACGCGACCGTGACTTCACTATATGAACGCTCGGAGGTTGTCAAGGAAGGTCGTATAATAGTTCGATTGAACGCTATATTTCCTCTCGAATGGCAGTGGAAACATTTCGAGAAGAAGCCCGAGTATTATGCAATCAAACCGAAGGATTTAGATGCTAAGGACCAGCTTTCCTATGAGAAGTTGGTGACCTACGTCGGGAGTTTCACATCGACGAGGTGCGTGGACGTGGACAACAACCTCCTCACTGACGACAACGGGGAGTATCTCCTTGTTAATAAACTGATAAATAAAAAGGCGTTGCTCGAATGTTCTTCAGATGAGGAAGCTCTGCGGCTTTTAGGTAGGGGACTTGCCCGTGAGTCTCTCTTTCTATGTTTAACTTGTGACTAACATTTTTTCTTTTTGGTTGCAAATCAGATGGCGTCCCTCTCCGAGCGCTTACTCAAGTTAAGGCCCAAGAATGCCTCCACCTCGGGGCCCAAGAGTCGGGCTGCCCAACTTCAGCAGCAGGCCAAAGCTCCTGGACGAGCTAGCGGTTCCCCCTCCTCGAAGACTCATGCTCCTCCTCCTGAACAATAGGCAAAGAGGAAGCGCGTAGAAGAGCCGGAGCGGGTGGTGCCCGGAGGTGGTGGGGGATTCAGGGAGTCTACATGTTGCCTCCTTGCTATCTCAATCAAACCATCTTTAGCAGGGAGAGTTCTCTAGGACTCCATGAGGATGAGAGGGAAGAGATCTTATCTGAGGATAAAGAGACCCGTCGGAAGAACCTGACAGGCGATGTGGCCGTCGTGATGAGGATCCTAGAGACGACGTTGACGTTGAATGATGAAGCCGCGGGCTCTCAGGCCGCTCTTGACAAAGCTTTCACCAAGATTGAGAAGCTGAAAGGAAAAAATGTGAAGATAAAGAACGAGATATTCAACCACGAGGAAAAGTATGAGTCACAGGTCCGACTTCTCAAGGACCTGAACAAGCTGTGGCCTCTGTTGGATGTTGCGGCCAAAGAGAATGAGCGGTTGGTCGCCAGAATGAAAGAGCTAGAGGGGATCTCGACACCTGCTGATAAAGAGATTGAGATGAAGAAAGCCATGACGACCAGGGGAGACCTAATCGGGCGCATCTGCGTACTCGAACAAGATGTCATGGATACCCTCGGTTATGGTTTTAACATAGCCGTGGAGCAGCTCAAGATATTGAACTTGGGGTTCAAGTTAGTGGTTAAAGGTTCAAGGTCATTTAATCAGGTGGTCGACGGAAAAATCTTTTATCCCCCCGCTGATAGTCTTGAGGAGGGTAGTGATGGGGAGGATGAGATCTGATGTCTTCGGGTGTGCGTGCCCAATTTTATTTCAGTTTGAATTTGTGGCCTGCGTGCCTTTATGTTTTGTAATTATTTGAACAATGTCGGCCTTCATGGTCGACATTTATGAATGCTTTTATT